TGCTCTTCTTTATCTTGGAGGTTAGTCTCAAGCTCATCTCGTCAAGGTACGGTTTTCCTCTCTTTCTCTTCCTCGTCACATGCCTTGCCCCGCATAATGTTCAAGAACCCCACTTCTCTGGTTTTGTGTGACTTCCTAAGTACTGACACTCACGTTTCCTCCTTTAAGTTTACAACCAATTTCCTCCATTATGACATGGATCTTACATTTTTCTATATTCTTGGGGGATAAAGAATATGTCTCTCAGAGTTGGAGCCATGTTTCTCGACCAAAATCTAAACATATTTTATGGGAAATGTCATTATGAATGAGCTTGATACGGAGTTGTGTGTGGCTCACTGTGACCATATTGATTGTAGTGTTGATTTACCTTGTATTGAAGTTATGTTTAGCTAAGTGCTAATCTTTTCGTTTGCTAAGGGTTGGTCTTTTTTTTAGCTATGCCATCTTTTCTTTTGTAGATGCAATATATGAGTTGCAATCCGGTTATGATGCCCAACCTTTTGGAAATTGCGGAGTTGGCTGGGCGATTACAAAGTTTTTCGAGACCCTTCTTGGTCGTCCACAAATAACCATCAAGGCGTTTCTTGGCCTCGGCCATAGTTGCAGTGATGTTCGCCGTTCAAACTACTCTTTGTAATGCAACAATTTTTGGTTTCATAACACTCATTGTGCTGGCTGAATGAATCTCAAGTCGTCATTACGGTTCTCAATTCTAAAGGAGTTATCATTGTTTTCAGAGGTCTCCTTTATGATAATAGATGCTTATGTAGCAGGATTGATGTTATCTGTTTACAGACTCTTTTGCTAAATCGACATTATGTATAATTGAACAATTTCTCTTATGTTGGAGAGTAATCTATTTATAAAATCTAGCGTTCGAAAAAAAAAAATGTAGCACAGGTTAAATAGTCCTAAAAATTTAACTAATTTTATTTTTAATATTTTGAATATTGTTTTTTTATGAAATTGTGTTAATCAATATGATAAACTTGTATGGTTTTTATCTCAAAACATGAATAAGAACCATACAAACTGATTTTAAGAAAGTCTATATATAAACCACACTTGAGCAATCATATCCTAGTAAGCCGATACCCACGCATAAATCTTCCATAGAATTTATTTTAATTTATTAGTAATTTGGAAGTTGCAGCAGATATAAAAAAACTAACATCTAATTATTGTATAACAATAATAGAAACCAATAAAAAGAGGAAAAATATTTACTGATGAATAAAAAATTATTGGAGATAACACTATATAGAATCCATACCTACATATGGAGAGATCAAATAACACACAAAGGAAACAATACAAAAAAAAAACATTTTTTCTCAATAAAAACATAGATGTTATTTTGTGGAGAATTGAAGCTAATGATATTGTTAGTGTTTGCGAAAACATGTAATGTAAAAGTTAGTGGGTTTAAATTTGTGAACTGAATATAATCGTCTCAATAATCTGAGATAGTCGGAGAGATTGTAGCGTCTTTGCTCGAGGGAGACATGGCATGAACCTTGAGGAATTGGAAGGGCCCCAAAAAGAGATAGAAAATACATGTTACATTTAGCAAAGCGAGAAATGATGATAATGGGTAAAAAATGCTATGAATGAAGAAATCAACACTTGTGGAAGCCAAAACAAAAAAAAGACGTTTGATTTTCCTTGGC